TTCGAATCTACTCTTCTTTCGTCCAGCCCCTGTTCATAACTCAGTGATGAGGAAGTCACTACGCTGGCTGATGGTAGTGAGCTCTCCTATCCTTGCTCCAGTCTAGCTGGTGTGAGGGAAAATGCACGATGCACTCACTGTGTTCTGTTCCCCATAGCCCCCTTTAACCACCTGGGCTCTATCCTCAGAGGCCACAGGGATCTGATGCTGCCTCAGCCACAGAAGAGTTCATCTGAACTTTGGATACAAGGGTCATATCCCCAGGTATAGTCCAAGACACATCCTGGAGAGAAACCTAAAATCAGAATTTGAATGGCCCCTTGCTAATGTGCTGGTCTCTCAATGTCCTAAGTTGTTTATTGTGGTCCCAGGACTTTACTCTAGTAGGGCTTTCTGTGGAGGCCCTAACCTGCTAGATAGAAACCCTGTGACTAAAGAGACCAGAGATCCCATTTGCTGTCCTCATTAGTTATGAGCTCTCTCTCTCTCTCTCTCTCATTCTCTCTCGGCTTTTCGAGACAGGGTTTCTCAGTAGTCATGGTGAAGTCCTGAAACTCACTCTGTAGACCAGGCTGGCCTTGAACTCACAGAGATCCACCTGCCTCTGCCTCCTAAGTGCTGGAATTAAAAGCCCGTGGCCCATTCTACCAGTAAGCATTTATTAAACACCTATTACATACTCAGTGTTGTTCAATACAGTAGTCATTAGCCTACTGTGATGGGTAAACACTGGAAATATGGCTAGTACAACTGAGAACAGGCTAGTAAAACAAGAACTAAAACTTCTTGTTTTAAAACAGTTTTGTTATGTATCTGAGTCTGGCCTTGAACTCACTGTATAATCCAGGCCTCCCCCAGACTCCCAGCATCCTCTTCTCCTTCATCATTTCCCCAAGTGCTGAGATTACAGGCATGTTCAACCAACCACATATCTAATTTTTTTTTCATTTCATTTCTTTTCAATATACTTAAAATCTAAAGACAGACACCAGGCTGATGAGGCAACCCACAGGGTGAAAGTGCTTGCGGCACAAGCTTGATGACATGAGTTCAACCAAGAACCCATATAAAGGCAGAAGGGGAGAGCCACATCCACAAAGTGAACCTTCAACTCCACATGCACTCTGTGACATGCAAATGCCCTAACCCGCACACATCACACATGCACAGTAACACTAATTAATAAATTTAAAACAAATAGCAAATTAAAAAAAACACTTCAAATATAAAACGTCATCGTCTTGGGCAAGATTGACAACATTTGATTTGAGGTTTCTGATGTCTGGCATCCAAACAGAGATGTGTTATGCTTGTAAAATGCACACCATGCTTCAACAACTTAGTTTAAAAAGAAACAGGCAGCGTGGCATATCCTAAGACTTGATTATATGTTGAAGTGATAATGTTTTAGACTAGGAAAATATGTTCTTAATTCTACTTGTTTCTGTGTAAGTGTGCATGTGTGTACATACAAGTGTGGGCAGGTGCACAGGCATATGGAGGCCAGAGGTGAATGGCAAATGTCCTCCTCTATTGCTCCAGAGTTTGTTCTTTTGTTTATTTGTTTTGTTTTGTTTTGTTTTGAGACAGGGCTTTCAATGGACCTGGCGCTTAGCAGTTTGGCTAGGCTGGTTAGCCAGTGAGGACAGATCCTCAGGCTCTGTCTCCCCAGAACAGGATTATAGGCTCACACTGATGTTTGGGAAGCTTTTTAGGGTACAGGGGGGCCAAAGCCAGACTCCCACACATGTGTGGCAAGTACCAACTGAGCCATCTTCTCACCCCCTAATTCCATTCATCTTTTCCTTTTTCCTCATTATTGGGGTGGGGTGGGGGATTGGTTGGTTGATTGAATTTTTGTTTGTTTATTTTTGAGACTCCTGATCTGTGTGTGTGTGTGTGTGTGTGTGTGTGTGTGCTACCACACCCAGCTTTGACTTTAGTTTTTAGAGACTGCCTTGCTGTGTAGCCAGACTGGCCTTAAACTCAATCCCACCTTCAAGTGCTGAGAGTAGATGAGGACACGGTCACTCTTTGTTTTTCTTGTTACTGTTTGGTCTCCAGAAAGTGGTTAATTACACAGATGGCTTTTGTTCTGCTTCTACTGAACAAGGCTGGTGGGCCAGTCATTTCCAAAACCACATTAATACACCCAAACATTCAGCACAGTATTTCTCTAAAGCCATCCCATTTTCAAACTAAGATTTCAGGGGCTGCAGTCAGTATTGAGCCACCTGACATGTTTGCTACCTCTCTCCTGGTCCGAGTCTTAGGGCTGCCCCTTTCTCCACACATGCTCATTGCAGTCAGCCCCAGACTGGGCACTCTCCATTACCTTTGACTGGCATGTTCTCTCTCCTTAGTCCTCTGATGCATCTCCTAAGAGCCTCCTGAGTCCCTTTTAGATTGAAACAGGCCATCTCTGCCTTGCTCACTCCACCCCGAGAGAGAGGTCACCTCACACTCTGCCCTTTGGCTCTCAGAGCCTGAATTCAGTCTTGATGCTCCTCGTCTGCCCTCTGTGTGAGATTGTACCCCACCACTGGTCTCCCCAAATCTGAAGTCTGAGCAGGAAATGCCCACAGGGCAAAACCCAAGTCCAAGCTAAAGATGATAGTGTACCAGCCAGCCGAGTAGGGGGCCCCCACTGGGATGTCTCCATTACCGCATGAAGATTGGAGCAAGATGCTCAGCTGCCTTCCTCCTGACCCTTGAACGCCCCTTTCCTGCAGGGACTGCTCACCATCCTAGAGGCCATCACCCTTCCATATTCACAGAGAGAGGCCTCGTCCTAGCTGGCTCCTGCCAAGCCCAGCCATTCTCTGTGTTGCCCTGGTCACTGGGTCATACTCTCTGCTCCCAAGACCCCGACCTCAAGGTCTCACTTCAGCACACCCTCAACACCACCCAACCTACTAGCCATGCTCTGCTGCCCACCACTCTTACACTCCCAGCAAAGATTCTGCCCAGCCACGGGCTACTTCCCTTCCATAGATCCTCTCTGGAGGATAGGGCAGTGACAAGCATTCAGGTAACACCCGGGAGCGAAGCCTCAGGGTTCTTCAGTTCTGTACTTCCCAGTGTACACAAGCCATGTGACCCTTGCTGGAGCCACTGTTCTACGTGACCTGCTCTGTTCTTGCTGAAGCAGGGCAGCCGGGAGTGCCCTCACTCAGTTCCCTGTTCTTCTCAATCCTGTAAACTCTCCAAGGCTTCTAAGTCTTTCTATCTTAGCCTCCATACCACAGACTGACATTTCACCCGAATCTTCCTAAGTTTCTGAAACTGGGACTTCAGGACTGGGAGGACCGCAGACCATCAGTCCTACATCTCATTGTGAACATTCTTCTTGTTGTCTTTGAGACAGGCCCTCACCGTGCAGCCCACCCTGGCTCTCGGCTCATATTCCTGTCTCAGCCTGCCAGGTACGAGGATTGCAGGCATGCACCGCTACACCCTGACTCCTGTGAGCTGTGCTCTGATCCCCGAGTGTACACGTGGCCCTGCGCACTCCCACCCGTAAATAAACAAACAAATAGGTAAATGCTTTTAAATTAGTATCTCCAGAGCAGCCACCATCCTCAGTTAACAAGCTGATCAACAGAACCTTCAAGGACACCAACCACCTTCCAAGCTGCTGTGTGCCTGGCTGAGAGGCCACAAAGCTGCTTCTGATCAAAGACAATTAACCATATAACTCTCTAGCACCATGAACTCTCCCCATCAGAGCCTGTCCATTAATAAACATTAAACTAGATTTTTTTTTTCTTTTTCTTTTTTTGCTTTCTGCAAAAATCTCTGCCCGGGTTTTTCATCTGCAAAGGTGCATCCTGGCACTCACCCCTTCACTGTGATCAAACATAGCCAGGCATCAGCTTGGCACATCTGCCTAGAATCCAGGTGACACAGAGAAAAAAGATGACACCATCAACTCCATAAACCAACAGAGATGGCAGGCCCACTGCCTCCTGCAGCAAGCTGGCACAGCAACCCGCTGCGTTAAACACTTCTGACATCTGTTCCCAAGGAGCTGGGGAAGGAGGTGAAGCAGCCTCTGAGAACCATGAATCATGCCAGCTTGGACTACTACTACACACCAAGCGAGGCCAGCTCCAACGACTGGGACATAAAGACCCCACACCAATCCACTTCTGGGCTGACTAAATTTCTAGTTACAGATCTTAAGTAGTTAGGCATGTATTTTGACAACATGCATCCCTTACATGATGCTGAGGAAGACTCGAGCCAGCAGATAGATAATTGAGTCAGTTTCTGTCACTCTGCTCTCCAGCCCCAGACCACAGCTTACACGCACACGCGCACACATGCACGTACACACACACTTCCTGAGTAAGGTTTTATAGATTCCCAGAGGGGTCATTTAGTGGAAGAACACCAGGTTACAGTAGCCTGTGCCCTACACAGGGGTGGCCAGCTCCAATAGCCCAGGTAGCACAGGAAAAGGCTGTCATCTTTGTAATCTCCAGGAGGTCCCAGTGATCCTTCATCTCAGGTCCCAGGACCAAAATTAGACGGTTATCTATTTCCCTCCACCCTTCATCATCATCTCTTCGCTTTGTCCACAGAGGAGTGCTTCCAGTCCCTGCCCTTTCTCCTCACATGTGCCCCTCACTGCAGAGCAAAGCAGTGGCTGCCCTGCCCAGCCCATCTCTTGCCCAGACATTGTCACTGAGCTTAGACCGTCTACACAGCAGCCCTGAGGCACCATCTCTGTCCTCAGGACTCTCTTAAAAGCAGCAAGGCACAGCCAATGGTAACTTTTCTCCCCCAGGCAGTGAAAATGGGTGGAGACCAGCAAGGAAAGAGTCCCAGATAGGTGCTTGGCTGTCTTCCCTGCCTCAGAAGAAAGGGCGGGTCCCTGGGAACCCGGGTCCCCTGCAGGTAAGGGTGTTGAGCTGGCCCTTTCGCTCCTGCTCTATAAGTGCCCCTCACAGAGCACTTTGGCCCATTCCCGACAGGGATGCACAGCCATCTCTTACCTTCATCTCTCTTGCGCTTGTTGGTGTCGGCACTGGGGGATGTGATGCCCAGGATACCACTGATGGAGTATGAGGAACCTGCAGAGTCTGTGCTCACTGATGACACCTGCGTCACGGAGCCTGTAGACACTGTAGAAGGAGAGGGGTATGGGTCTGTCACAAGGGTGCTCACTAAAAACACTGGGCTGGGTACAACTGCCACAGACTGAGCAGAAAGGAACACAAGCACAGAATAAAAAGGGAATTACAAGATCTTAGCCAGCCCAAGGGTGCAGGAGACGGGAGGATGCAGGGAGGCAGGCAGCTGATGCCACCTCCAATGCCAGGAAAAGACCTGGTTGCATACTTAAGTCACATTCATCTCTGCTTACATTCCAGCCATGTATGTCTACAGCTTCATACACAGGGAGTAAATAAAGTGTAATAAAAAGTATGTTGTTCGTTGATGAATAGTGGAGAAAGACGTGTCTCCCACTGATACTCTGCTTTTCACTTGGTCGTGCTACTGATTATTTTTTCTATTTGCCAAATGAGGAAAGTTAGTTTCATGAGGTGAAGAGATTCAAAGTGAACTAACTAAGCAGCACTCAAAGCCTCAGGTCTAAAATTTCCCTTCCTAGAAGTGGAAACAGAGGTGATGACTTATTATGGCCAGGGCAGGGTCTCTAAGTTTCAACGGGCAAGGAGGGGGGACTTCAGCAAGTTTCACAGTGACCTCTAGTCTAGAGTCCAGGAGACCTTTGAAGATCCTCTCTAGCTCTGTGGCTGGATTTCCATTTGTGAGATGTGGGGTTTCTCCCTCCTTTCATTAAGATCAGTAGACTCCCTCCTCACACACCCCTCCATGAGCAGCTAGACCTCTCTCACACCCCTCACACACTTCTCTGAGCAACCAACTGGAGGCAGGTGGAGCCTTTACTTTGCAGAGAAGGGCATGGCTGGAGTGATAACACTTTCCTTGGAGTAGAGGCAGCCCCTGGCTAGAGGGTACCTTTCTGCTCACATTTGAGCTAGAGTTTAGATCTCACTAAGAGATACCAATGACCAACGCAGAAACTGCTAGCTTCTCTTTCCCTTCACCAGAAAAAAAAAAAAAAAAAAAAGAGCAAAAGCTCCTCAAATACATTTATGCAAATCCATGACCTCTCTGTATTGAGGTGCAAAGGAATAAAGAGATCACTTGGCACATCAAACAACAGCCACATGGAAAGCAGCTTTGGCTGTGTCACTGGCAGAGTTCAATGACATTTGCTTAGGTATTTTGCATTCACACTGAGCACAGAGGACCCAGGTTCAGGTTCTGGCTTCACATATGACTTTAGAGTTGTCACTCATCCTGTGAGCTCTAACTGTCCTCAATGTGCAATAAGTTAGCAGACAATATGAGGCTGCATACATGTGAGATAAAGTTTTATAAATTTCTGGGGTAAAGCAAATCACTCTGCTGAGTTACTATAGAATTATTCCTCTAAGGCTAATGAAGGATAGTTTGATTTTTTTTTTTCATTCTACGTGCCCTGGAACAGTTAAAGTCACAAGTGAAATCTCAGCCACAAACACCCCCTCACCCCACCCAAGAAGCCCTCCTCCATCCTGTCATTCCACCCAGCAGAGAGATGCCTCCTTCCTGCTACTCATGCAGACCTGCTTCCTGGGCTTTGGTTTTTTATTTTGTTTTGTTGGTTGCTCTGTTTGTTCATATTTTTTTTTCAAACTCCCTTCCCACACTCCCCCATGGGACTGGAAGCTCTTGAGAACAGGAACTTTTGTCTGACATTCCTCTCCAACCCCAGGATCCGCACAGCATGAGCATAGTACGGTCTTTCCAATGGCAATAAGGAATGAAGAATGGTCTTGGGCAGCAAGGACTTCTGTCTTACCTTGCTTCAAATAGCTACCCTTAAAGGGTCAGAAACCTGGCTTATGCCCTCCCTGATACAAGAAGGGGGAAACTGATACTCAGAGGTGAGCCACTTGTGTGGCCCACTGGATGAGATAATGACAGACTGATGAGCCTCTACCAGGCTTCTCATCACTATGAGAAGCTCAGATTTTTATTTAAAGAAAGAATGGCAGTGGAGGCTGGAGAGGTGGCTCAGTGGCTAAGAGCACTTGCTGCTCTCCCAGAGGACCTGAGTTCAGTTCCCAGAATCCACATCAAATAGCTTGTGACTGTGTGTAACTCCAGCTGCAAGGTATCCATCGCCCCCTTCTGGACCCCTGAAGTAAACACACACACACACACACACACACACACACACACACACACACTGCACATACACACAGACTTAAATGGCAGTAGTAAATATACATTCTGAGATGCAGGGCTGCAGACTTGTTGGGGTCTGTGGCACCCAAACTGGCAGAGGCTTGCTAAATAGCCACCTGCTTCCTTACAGTAGAGTAACTTTTCCCCAGCAACCCAAAAGCATTCCTTTGTCCTAAATGCAGAAATGACATCAAGAACATGCCTGGGTTATGTCATTTTTCAACTCCTCTTTGAAGAGGAAGCAAGAAAAAAGTCTAGACTTTTGAGTGTGACAAGGTAGGACTCCATCTTATGAGTCATGGTCACTCTTAGAATTCCCCTGTGGACCGCGGAAACCCCACAGGCAGCCCTCAACAGTTGGCAGTGTACGAGAGAGCGAATCGAGAGCAAGAGAGAAAAAAAGTTTGGAAAGTTTTGCTACATCTTCACTCAAGACTGCAAGTGCACAAAGAATTGCAGAAGGCTGGTTATAGAAGGAAAAAAACACATTCAAAACTACTTACTGACTAATGATGCAGAAAATGTTATGAATAAGTATCCCTTTCTTGATTTATTACTTTAATTATCTGACATTCTATAGACCCCCATTAGTGGATTTTTTTTGGCTTAGATTTCAATTTTCTGTCTCATGGTGAAAGCTATTTATCATAATAATCAGTAAAATTCAAAACCTTTTAGCAGTATTTATAAAATTCATTTGCCAGGTTCAGCCCTTGGAGAATGACAAAGAAGGAGCATTAGGACGCGTGTGAAGTGTTTTATGCAGAATTATCTGTCCATAAGAATGATTAAAAGTTCTTTAGAATATTTGGAGCCCATTAGATTTTCAAATTTTTTTTTAAAAAGTTCTTACCTATGCTGTGACTGGAAGCTGGGACTGGCTGGTTGGGGGGCTGCTGTACTTTAGTCCGGATGATCCTGTAGGCAGTTGGGGGAAAAGAAAAACAAATGACTATTTACTGTTGAGAAGAAAAGAGACCCTGAAGTTGCTTCCTTGCTAGAGTGCTTGACTAGCATGAGCAAAGCCCTGGGCTCCATCCTGAAAAGGATGGGAATGCACGGGCTGGTATACACCTACAGCCCCAGCACTAGGAAGGAAGAGCTAAGAAAATCAGATGTTCAAAGTTCAAAGTTATCCTCGGCTACATAGCAAGCCCAAGCCTAGTGTAGCATACATGAGCCTCCATCTTTAAAAAAAAAAAAGAAGAAGAAGAAGAAGAAGAAAGAAGAATGAGACCCTGGCTAGTTATGCAGAGCACAGGAAAGAAGTGGAGCTGGGGTGGGAGATTATGGACCCAGACTGGGAATTAGAAGTTCTAAGGAGCTTTCTCACTGGGTGTCTTTGGGTGGCTGGCATCACCCCTGGACCCATGGTGTCAGTGCCTCTCTGTTCAGTTTTTCTATCTTTTATGTTTTGGTTTGTTAGGTTTTCTGAGGCAGAATCTCACGAAACACATGCTAGCCTGGAGTTCCCTGTCTACTACCCAAGGCTATCCTTGAACTCCTGATCTTCCTGCCTCTTCTACTAGTTGCTGGGATTACAGGTGTGCACCACCACACCTGGCTCGCTGACTGTCAGGTGTGCCCGAAGCTCCATCAGAGATCCTTGCCCTCACCTGAGCTCAGCTTTCCACCTGTGGGGTTAGAAGTGACTCAGGCAACCTGTCTGCCCTCTGGCAGTGCTCTAATGTTGGCTCCTTTGTCCCAGGCTCCACAAATTAGATCCGTACACCCACCCACCGGGAAAGGAGCTAGGAAGAGGATGTGTGTCACTGATGCCGCGAAGGGTGGGAGTGTTGCCCAGGGAAAGCTCCTGGCTTGACTTCCTAAGAAGCCAGCCCATACCCCACGGTATGGCCAGAATGTTAGCCAAAATGATAAAGACCCAGTAAACTGTAAGGTCGGGCCAAAACAGGTGATCCAAGAGCAAAGTTCCAGACAGACTTAACTGCCTGGTGCAGTTTGATAAGTCTATGTGTGACAAACTCTGTAGACGATATCACTCCAGCTGTGGTCTCTAAGAGACTGAAGACTCCAGTTCCCTGGCCGGAGCAGCCTTCAGGACTGCCTTAGCAAAGGATGCACAAAGGGTGGAGATGCCTGGCTACTGCCAAAGATGCAGGAGCAGGATCAACAGACTGCACATTTGCAAAAAGAAACTTTATTAAATCAAAGCCAACAAACTTTATAGGAAGGACCCACGCAGCAGGGAGCCAGGAGTGTCCCTTCCCAGAACCCTTGTGCTGTTCTGTCATGAAGCTAAAGATAACCTTGAGTAAATCTGTTCCCCTGTGGGTCTCAGCACACCCAGGGAGTTTCCATAGATCATTCTCTGCTTGTTTTAAGTAATCAAATACTTTTAATAAAAACTAGAAACCTTGCAGGAAGGCTTGCTGTACTTAAGTGATAAAGGCCTGGCAATGCTGATCCTCTGCAGGAGCTTGGGGAGCCTTCTAGCTTGGTGGCAGACTTCTAGCAGGACCCACACATGGGGCCTCCAGGAGACCACAGGGGCAGTATGCCTTTGAACACAGAACAGAGACAACTAAAAGCCCCTGTGGGATCTGCCGGAGAGCTCCCTCACTGGCATTTTGGAGATAGGTAGGTCATAATATAATAAAACGGTGACTTTCTCAAGAAAAGCACTGTTCCAAACTTTTTAACAGGATATTTGGTAAAATTTTACTTCATTATTAAAATGCTATGTGCTCATTATAGACTACTGTTTACATTTCTGTGTATGTGCACATGTCTGCGTGTTCCTGTGTGTGTCCATGCACAGTGTGTGAGTACGTGTAGAGACCAAAAGACAACCTCAGATGTTGTTTCTCAGGCTAGGCTAGTGGCCTCAGAGATCTGCCTGCGTGTGTGTGTGTGTGTGTGTGTGTGTGTGTGTGTGTGTCTGGAGTCTGTCCTTTTCTTCACCATCTTCAGGTTGGCAGCCAGCACTGTTGCTGGCTGAGCTGTTTCATGGCTTTTGTAAATGTGGATTCGGAGGAAACAAACTCAGGTCCCTACTTTCACAGCGCAAATGCTCGTGTTCTTACATGGCAGAGAACAACTTGCAGGAGATGTCTTCTTCCACTGTGTGTATTAAAGGAATCTAACTCAGGCTGCCAGACTCAGTGGCAAGTAACTTTACCTGCTGAACCATCTTGCCAGCCTTGATCTAATTTGCGCCTATGTGTCTACAAAGATGTAGCAGGTAAATGAGTATTCAGATGCGCTAGATACATGTCCTGTTTCCTACTGAAGCCCAACATAAAATCCTGACTTTTCATCCAATTTGTCTAGAGACAAAACAAAGTATAGTTTTTCACATTTCTCTTCAAATACCTATAAACCACTGGCAAAGCGTTATAAAAGGTCATAAGCCATTAATAGGCCACTGCAGCACAGGGAGTAAGTATACAGACTCCAGAACCAAAGCACTGGAGATCAAATACAGCCTTCAGTTTGCCATCGCCATCACTTGGAGGAAATTCCCTACCTCACTGCCTCATCTGAAAAATGTAAGCAAGCCTACGCCATGGAACTGTTGTTATTAGGGATGAATTAGAAAACTATTTAGATGTCACCAATCCACATCAAATGCTCAATAAATGTCACCTATCATCACTCTCATTGCTGTCTTCATAATGATGAACTAGCAGCTTCAACTTTAAAACATTCAGATGCTTCCGATTTGCCTAAGGCACATGAAACAATTGTGACACCAGCACCCAGGAGGCTGAGGCAGCAGGGTCCTGAGTTCAAGGCCAGCCGGGTTTCATAGTGGGACCATATCTAAAGTAAATGAATAAGATCCATCCTATATTGTTAAGCAAAAGCATGACCCAGGTTTCCAGGATAACATGCTCCAGCTTAATACTGATACAGATGGAAAGATTAAAGTCCAGCATGTGCCAGTGATTTAGCCAGGGTCGCACAGCACAGGGTCAGTCCAGACTCCTAGCCCCCAGGCCTGAGCACATTCCCATGAGCTATATTTGGAGGAAGTTATCCTTCTGATAACCATGTCCTATATGAGACACAGAAAAATGGACTCAAAATCCATTTTTCAAAAATCTAAGAGATTTTATGTTGTTAAGTGTTTAAGGATTCCATTTCAGCATCACCACCCCCTTGAAAAATTAGATCCTCTTACCACCATCTCCCTTCACCTCTCACACTAGTTTACTGAAAGACATCATTGCAATGTGTTGAAAAAGCTGAGCTGAGGGCTAGAATGTAGCTGGATAATATGGTGCTTGTCTAGCAAACACATACATAGGCCCTGCGTTCAGGCTCCAGGACCACCTGGGTAGGGTGTGATCCCAGTGTGCTAAGACAGGAGAGGAGGGTCAGAAATTCAAGATCATCTTTGATTACAGAGCAAGTTCAAGGCCAGCTTGGACTACATGATGTTGCCTCAAAAAGGAGGTGGGGGCTTAGAAGATAGCTCAGCAATTGAATTGGTTGCCATGCACACATAAGGCTCAAAGTTCAGATCCCAGAAACGTGTGTAAATTCTGGGTGGCCTGGTCTGTGATTCCAGCCTCAGGATGCAGAGAACAGAGAATGACTACTGTAAGATGGCTAGCTAGACTAATCATCAACAAGCTTTGGGTTTGACTGAGAGACCCTGCATCAATAAATAAGGTGGAAGATGGAGTCCTGACATCAAGTTCCAGCTCTTACATGCACACACACACACACACACACACACACACACACACACACACACACACACACACACACACTGCTAAAAAGGAGAGAGAGAAATAACCACTGAAGTGACTCTTGCCAGCCTGAGCATGGCCAATACAGCTCTGGCAGGCTGGGACTGGCTGACAGTGGGGTGTACTGTGCCCAATACGGGTCCCTTCAACCACACTGCTAAAGCTGCCATCAACACAGAGAGATGCACTGGCCATCAGCTATAATTAGAAACCAAAAACCTGGGACTAACTTGGGTGGATCCGTAGCCTGCCATCGGCACGAAAAGAAAGTGGGGATGAGAAAGCATCTCAGAAGACTTGCTGCCAAAGTTAAGGTTAAAAAGCACAGGCAAGGTGGCATAGCGGCACATGCCTGCAATCCCAGCACCCGGGAAGCTGAGGCAGGTGTATCGGCAGTTGGAGACCTGTCTGAAGTACAGGGTGAGCCCCCGTCTCCAACAAAACAAAACAAAACAAAACTAGGTAAATAAAGTAGTTAAACTATCATTCACCAGGCTGCCTCCAGCTCCTGCACAGATTATTTTGTCATTATTTATTGAATAAATAGCAAGTATGTCTGAGCTTTGAGTTTTCCCATAAAAATCACCTGAACCAGGTCAGTTCCTACAGAGCAGACTGACTTCTCCAATACTACCTCTGTTCCTCCCTCTACAATCTCCAGTAATCCCCAGTTAGGGACATAAACAGTATGGTGCTTAGCCATGGGGACATTGGCACGTGTCTAGTATGAGTTCAGTTGTACTGTAAATCACCCTTTTAAAACTTAGAACCCAAAAAAGAGAATGTTAAATAGCTCATTAATAATTTTCATACTGATTGCACATTGAAATACTTTTTTTCTAACCACACTTCATTACACATATTTATTTTTATTTTCTTAATACCCACTAGAAAGTTTCAAATTGTATCTAATAATAATAGAGTGATATGGACTAACAAAATTCATATCTTCCACTAAAATATTACTGGAAAGGTGACTTGGATCTCTTATCTGACAACTCTCTCTTCCTCTAGCAAAATTTCCATCATTCTGCAATGCAGTTTACTTTTAAAAAGAAAAAAACAATAACCTGGATACCCAGGGGGAAAATCATGTTTGTTTTGTGTCCTGGAAATCCTGTAATGAGCCAGGTGTGGAGAACTCACAACTATAACCTTTTATAACTCAGAAAAAAAAAAATAGATACTATACCCCCTCACCCCTAGGCTCACTGGCATCATCACCCCCTCCTCAGTTCTACCCTCTGGGATAAATCTGAAAAGATGTACCCAATTTCTCTCTTCTTTAGCACCTTGCAAGATTGCGGGGCCTCAATAGAGGTTTTCATGAGAAGCAAACGGGTCAGTGGTTGACGAGTTGGTGGGACCTAAAAAGTCAACACATGCATCACATGCTGATGCTGTGCATTTGAGTCCACCGTGCTGTCATCAGGGCCAGAGAAGACCTCAGAGACATTCCAGTCTGACACCTCTTTCATTCCAGAGTGAGCAGTTCTCTGTCCTCAGGCTCAGCACTGGTCACAGGAGGGTGTGACTTTGAAGAAACTGGAATGGTTCAATTCCAAGACTTCTGGCTTATTTTTCTTATGTGGGTTTTAGAAAGCAATTATTTATATCCATCTCATCATTTCATCCCCGACTGTGGGTTTGTTTGTTTGTTTATTTCTTTGGGTTTCGGAGGCAGGATATCTTGCTTAGAACTCTCTATGTCACCCAGAGATGATCTTGTATGCTCCTGTAATTCCAGATGCTGGGGTTACAGACATACACCACTGCACCATGTTTGGGTGGTACTAGGGGTGTAACCCAGGGCTTCCTGTATGCAAGACAAACAATCTACCAACCGAGCTACACCCACAGCTCCTGCCTGGAGGCTTAAATGGATCAGAGTCTTACTATCTATAATAGAAAATTACCTTCTTTTGGCAGTGATACACCGGTAACCCCAGCATTCAGGAAGCTGAGACTGGAGGATCTTTTCAAGCACATAGCAAGTCCCAGACCAACTAGAGATACATCGTGGGACTCTGTCTCATTAAAAAAGAAAAGGAAGGAAGGAAGGATGGAAGGAAGGAAGGCTTTTATTCCAGAATGTAATTTTCATTTTATGTAGTATTTTATTTTTTGAGTTGGGGTCTTGCTATGTAGCTCAGGCTGCCTTCAAAATCACTGCCCTCCAAATCTCCAGAGTGCTGGAATTACACGTATGTATTACCATATCTATTCCAAGTCAGAAATTTATTTTTAAAGCTCTGATGATATACATGGTTATGCTTTAGATCAGCCTAAGAGAAAGGAAAGAAAGGATACCATGTAAACTCCAGGAAAATGCTATGCCTGATGCCATGGTGTATTTCTGTTTTTGTCTCTCCATGGGTGAGATCTAAGGGTGCATGGGAGCAGGCATCTCCTTGACTCTGAAGCACCTGATATCCCTGAAGATCCACATTAGAATCATTAGAAAAATCTACATTAGATCCCTGGGCTCTCAGAAAACAACACAAGAATCTGTTGAAATCTCAGTTGGAGTTGGCAGCAGGGCTAGAACAAAGAGCGACTTGTCCCCAGCCCAAAGAGAACTTTTGGTTTGTTTGTTTTTTGTTTTTCAAGGCAGGGTTTCTCTGTGTATTTTTGGCTGTCCTAGAACTCACTTTATAGACCATGGTGGCCTCGAACTCCCAGAGGTCAGTTTGCCTCTGCCTCCCAAGTGCTGAGATTAAAGGTGTGCACCACCACCATTTGGCCCAAAGGGAACTTTGTTTCCCACACCTACTGTTCAACCTCAAAACTGGAGGCTGGACTGTCTGCCTGGGAACCTCTGAAATGAGTCAGCCCCTGGCAGGGGCAGGGATGTTTGTGAAGGCCGGTTTATACAAAATGTTCCTCCTCATAGATAGATAGTGGACTGGGTGGTGTCAGTCACTCCCTGCCTCAGAAAACTCAAGTGGCCTGGGCACTGGCATGGTGTCCTCTTCCTGAGGTGAGAACTGTCACTTTTAGAGAGGAGAAAGGTCACAGAGACCAGCCACCACCATGGGGGTTCCCCTCTGTTCACATCCCCATGGAGCGAAAGAAAAACCAGATCTTCAGAGAAGGCAAGCACAGACCCTTGGGTGCCCCAGCCCCTCCCTCACCTGTTGATGGAGCTGACACTGGGCACTGTGTCATTGTCACACACGCGCTCTGCCAACAGCCGGTCCCTGATCTCCCAGGCAAACATGGTAGGGTTTTGGCGTTTATACTCAGCGATTTTTTCCACCACTTTGGGAGTGGCGACCTTTGGTTTGGATCCTCCAATCACGCCCGGCTTGATGCTTCCTGTTTCATAATACCTAGACCCAAGAAGAAAAGGCCTTAGTTAGCCAAGGAGCCCCACAGAGTGGATACACATTTGAAATGTGGAAAGTGTGAATAAAGATAAACATAAACAGTAAATCAGTTTCAAGCTCAGAAAACAACTTCCAGGAGTCTATTCTCTCCTTACATCATGGAGTCCCAGGGATTGAACTCTAGTCATCAGGCTGGGCAGCAAATGCCTTTATCCGCTGAGCTATCTGGCCAGCCCACTAATAATTTTTATAATAGTTATATGTTGAAATGACAATCTGTATGCATTGTGTTAAATAAAATTCGTAATTAAAATAAATTATACTAGTTTCCTTTCACTTTTCTTAATGTTCTATGAGAAATTTTCAAATTGCTCGCATGGCTCGTATTATATTTTATAATATAATTATAAAATACATATATTGGACAATGCTAGCAGCAAGCTACATATTAGCAAAATGCCTTCACATTCATCTACCATTTTACAGATTATAAAAAAATTGCAAGTTAGTTTTTCCTCCTGGTCCTCTAACAGCTCTGTAGCACATAAACTGTTTTAGGTGAATGAATAAGTGACTGGGCAATTAGGAGACATATCCTTCTGTGATATTAAACACAGATTTACAGAAGTTGAATGTTTTCCTTGGGGTCACAAAGGATTAAGGTACCCAGCCAGGACTCTGGACAAGGAAGGTGATATAGGGTGATACAAAGCTTCAGTTTGCGGGCTCTCCCATCCCCAGCACAGTCTCCAGAACTCTCTGAAGCTATCTCCTATATTGCAGGGTTTTGTTTTGTTTTGTTTTTTTTCCAAAAGAGAAAAACAATAACCCTGATATAAAATTAAAGGGCGTGTTGGATTCCAGTGTTAATGGGAAATACGTATTAGAAATCAAATCCTGCGCAGTCAGAAAAACCAACCATGATTCTCGACAGCTCTTCCAGAGGCCTCCCCTGAGGTAAATGGCTGTTTCTAAGGACATCTCCATGCTATCAGCTTTTCCTCATTAACACAAATAGGATGTCAGGGTTTTACAGCAAAACCGAGACCAGAGAGAAGAGTGGCATGAAAGATCATTTCCGGGGAGGAGAAAAAGGACCTGGTTCTTTGTGAATTTTAGCCCTTACTGGATGTCTCTCTCAGTGTTTACAGAGGAGTTCCTGATTCCCTCTTCCAAAGATCGTCTTCAGGTTTAAAATTTTAAACCAAAGACATTTTAGAAATTATAAGTTTTAAGTCTAGAATATTTATAAGAAGTAAGGGAATGCACAGGGGATGGAGGCACACATCTGTAATCCTAGTACTTGGGAGGTGGAGGCAGGAGGATTAGGAATTTCAAGGACACTTGGCTACATTGAGGGGGGAGGGGGAAAGAAGAGGAGAAGGAGCAAGAAAAGGAAGAGGAGGTGGAAAGGTGGAGGAGAGATAAGGGGGAGGGAAAGAGAAGGGAGGGAATAAGGTGATTCTATTGGATAGATGGAAACACGACCCAGAAGCAATGATGGAACATTTACAGAGTCACCAAAACTCTCAGCTTGGGTAAGTCAGTTTAGAGCCAAGTAAATGAATATTCTAGAAATGAAAAATAGTTCTATTTTTTTCATTGAGAAGAGTGTCATTTACAATTTTAAAGCATAAAACAAATTCCAACCTATCTTCCTTTTTTATAAAATTGTTGGAAGCAATTTTCTAAAGTGTTTTTAATCACAAAAGGGTTTAATAAATACCCACAAAAATACATATTTCTGATAGAAAGTAGAATGGCACCTAAATTCTAGCACAGCAACTCCTGAAGACTCTATAGTCCTATCAACTTCTCAAGAGAAAGCCAATTATTTTTTAAACTTACTTATTTTTATTTTAGTAGCATTGGTGTTTTGTCTGAATATGTGTCTGTGTGAGGGTGTTGGATCCTTTGGAACTGGAGATACAGACAGGTGTGAGCTGCCCTGTGGGAGCTGGAAATTGAATCTGGGTCTTCTGGAAGAGCAGCCAGTGCTCTTAACTGCTGAGCCAACTCTCTAGCCCAGACAAAGCTGATTATTTACTATCACATAGCAACTCATTATTCTGGTACAACACTCTAGAGTTTATGGAATTCTTTAAATTACCATGATTCTCACAAATCTTTTGAAGTCAAAAAGATTTTATAGAAAAGAAATGATCAGAGGGTAGGGGACTTGCCCAACTCCTCTGGTTACAAACTAGACTTTGAATTTAGAGATCTTCTCATTACTACAAGTTTCTGCTTTGATTATAATGCTTTTAGTATTAGTAGTTGCAATTCTTAAAATTGTAGAGAACTTTACTATTTGCAAGATCTTTTCTCAGACATCTTTCACTCATTCCATTGGGTCCTCTTAGGGCAAGGATGGCCTCAGGATAGGGCTTATAGATAAGTGGACCACACTGTGTCCTCAAAATGCAAGAATCTAATGGAACTACAGTGACCACACAGAAACTCATCAGGAAGCAAATAAAGCCCCCTGTTTACATGACTGGTATGTGGCAGCCCAGGACTCCCTCCCTATCCTACTTGAGCAGTGCCAACTGTGGAAATCTGCAGTCTCGACACTCTGTCTTGCCTTTGACTGACAGATGGACAAGGCTCTTAGAAGGCAAGACAGACACTCCCGAAACCCCAACTCAAGACTGTGTCAAGTGAGGATTCAGACTTAATAGCCATCCTTTCATCTCAGCAAAACAGCCGTGCAGCCCTTTGGCTTACAGACAAAAGATGAACGGCAGCTACCAGCCCGGTGTCCTTCCGTGTAAAGAGCTTTAGGTTGGGAGTCAAGAGGTGCCATGCCTGTAGTGGCTCTGACACCAACAGGCTGTGTGATCCTGACTAATTCAGCCTTCCTAGGCCTCAGTTACTCTGTTTCTGTAATAGGGAAGGATATTTGCCATGGCTCCTTTGCAGAGCTATTGGAATAACAGGGATGCAGAATGACCATGAAAAGACTTTGCCTAAATACATAAATAAAATAAAATAAAAGGAATTTGCATCAAGTAAAGTGCATGGTTAGGAATTAAAATCCCCACTGTTTTATTTTTATCATGGGAGATGCCACCAAATTTCAAATGACCTGGCATTCCCAATGAGAGCAGACAGCAGCCTTGCTCTGTGATCTGACTTGGCATTCATATGATGCCCAGTTCCTCTACAGCCTTGAGTTCTCTAGACTAGATGTCCATACTCCTGCCAGCCCACATACCCTCTTGGAGAGAAGGAGATCCCTGCTTGCTCCCAGGGACTTTGCCTGCCTTGCTACACAGCCTTTGAAAACCACAGCCACCACACACCAAGCAGTCTAGAATCTGTCACCCAGTGAGCACCTATCAAATTCTTCTAGGGGGTGGGGGCAATCTGTGGGTCAAACAGGCCGAGTTCAGAAATTCCCATATTCCCATTCACACTGTTTTAGGGCTGAACTTGTTTCTTAAAAGGCAGTTCTAATTAGAGTGACATTTTGTCCACTGTGGTTCTTAGTTATGAAAATAATGAGCTATGAAATTCCAATTTATTGTTGACAACTTAAACGGCCAGGCACCGGAGCGGCGCATAACTTCCTAGTGCCACTCTGCCCAGTGACAAATCTATTCTGGTCCAGGGGAGTCTGCTGGCCTGACTTTAGAAGGATCCCTGTCCACCTCAGTCTTCACGGGAGAGGTAAAGGGCTCTGGGGCTCTAGGACATGAGATCCCGTCATTTGGGTGTCTGAGAAAGGCTCTTGGTATCTTGAAATTTTCAAACAGCGAACAAAATGTCAGCTGAGCAAAGATGTCTCAGTAAAAAACAAAGGAAGGGCCTCCGCTCTCTCTCCCTCTCCTCTGCTACAAAGAAGCATCGCATGAAGATGGTGCACACCATTCAGCTCCAAAAGTGAGAGTGATGACCTCGGAAGCAGCTTCGTCTCACCCTCTTTTCTTGTACATTTTCTATTCTGTCTTTGAAAAAAACCCATTCTTTCCCCCTTTGTCTTCTGTCTTCATTCTCTCTCCCTGACAGCTACCTGCTTTTGTTGCCCTCACTCTCATCTTCCCTACACCACCCTCTAACACGGTCACCAGGCTGATTTCCTATGCTCCTTCCTGAACTCTGGCTGGAACTCATTTGCTGGCTGAGAATTAAGCAGACGTGGATTGAGCCCTTGTCTTCCATGTCTGATGTGACCCATACTGGACAGAAAGATGAAGAATAAGCTCAGGGATAGGTGGCCCTAACGGAACTGCTGCCGGATTCTTGTCCCTGAGATGTCTTCCTTTGGTCTGAATCAAGATCCTCTATATTATTATTTAACAGTGTTGGGAGAAATTTTAAATCCCAGCAGATGAAACAAGAAGAGCAGAAAGTCATGATGTCACTGAGAGAACTTCAAAAACACTTCAAAATGTTCATGACTGTCAGTCAGGTATCAGGTGTTAAATCATAACGCAAGCTACACAACAAAGATGGGGACCACTGACCTCAGGGAGAGAAATAGTAAGAAAGCCCTGGAGAGATAAACCTGAGAATGTTCCTGTCTGCCAGGGAAGACCTAGAACAATGCCACATGCCTATGAAATAGAAACAAACAAACAAAAACTATCAATGCGTTTTTGGGGTTGTGGAGAGAGACAGGGTCCCAGGGCCATGTAGGACCTAGTCCAGCCCAAGAACTGACTTGGCCAGACATGCCTATGCCAGTCAGTTAGCCCTGGAAAGGTTTATTTCCTCATGTTAAAACCTTCCCTGAATGGCTGAGGCTGGTGAAAAAAATAAATAAATAAATAAATAAACGTGAGGCTAACCGCCTGCAGTCCTTTGAGAGGACTGTCATTGTAAGTATTTTGCTCACAGCAAATTGTTGGGTCAAGTGGCAACTTTCAAATGTCAGATTTGAGACTTAGTGTTTGTTACTGTTTTGTTTTCCTCCCTCTAATTTAGTATGGACTTAGGATGCCTGTCACTACAAAAGAGACAAAACACACAGAAGGAAAACACTACAGCTAGCATGAGAAGGCTGATGATACACGACTGAAGATGAAGGCTGGCTTTTAAATATCAAGTGCTATTTGGAAACATTTAAAAGAAAACACTAAGGCCTGTCAATATAGCTCAGTGGTAGGCAACCACTTAACACGTACATAGCCTTGTACCAAGGACAAAAAGACAAATAAGAAAAAAAGAGAGAGAGAGAGAGACAATCAACTCTAGTTGTATTCTATAACCTATGGGTCTGTACCCCACACTGTGCCCTGCGCCCCCCTCCCCCAGCCATTCCCTTGACATCAAGCTCACCTAAGAGGTTTGGGAGAAATTCCCAATAACCTCTGACTTTTGGGTTCTTTAAAATAATTCAGCAGACTTTTGAGAAACACGTTGTTCCTCCTGACACAGTCAGCCTATCCCACACGTCACTGAAAACAAGGGGTTCACAGCTACTTTGAATAGGATGATCTCAAAAGACTGCAAACTCTCGAGTGTGCAAAGCAAAATGCTGCCGTCGTCTCACTGTAGACACTGGCACCTTGAGCAGCTGGGGCTGTCTTTTAGATCTTTCTTTAAAACACTGAAGGGAGCCTGGAGTTGGTGCCTTTACCTGCCAAGAATTTTGCTGACACAACCATGGCTGACCCGAAGCTGCCTGGAGATGTCGCAAGGCCTGACACCTTGATGGGCAAGTTCCACTATCCTTTGGCGGACTACATCTGGGAGTGGCCGTCCATTCACAAAAACCCCCCCAAGCTGATTCACTCCTCCATGTCCTGAAACAGATCAGAAACAAAAGGCAAGGGGAAGGATGGTTAGAACCAGTCACATAGTAGTAGAAGGGCCCTTGTGAGCACCCAGAGCCCCTCTGATCACAAATGGCTGGCAGGCTAGATGGCTTGCACCTGGAGTCCAACCATGCAGATGACATGAGGACCCTGGATTGCTTTTTAACACCAGTCCTAGCTTTTGCCCATCTGCAGGCAGTCAACTGAGCCACTGCTAGCTCCCCACACTGTTTTTCTTTAAGTTACTAGCATTTTCCTCTTCATTTGGGGGAATCAGTAAGGGAATGTGTAAAAGAAATCTATATAAAAGGAGCATAATTTACTATACAATGCCAAATTTGAGGAAGATCCTGGGGGGAAAATAGTGGAACTCGTTTTCTTTTAACAAATGTCTTCAAAAATGAAACGGACTGTTCTAATATCTACACCTCAAGGGAGAAAGTGTTTTTAAATCAGCAATCTAATTGAAGAACTAAAGACTTTCTTTTTAATAACCAACATTTTCAGATCACTGAGACAAAACCTAACTGCTGCCTTAATTTAAAAATAGAAAAAATAAATTAAAGCCTTCTTTTAAAATAGTGAGGTTGACGTGCAGGTGCAGGTTTGACCATTGTACCCTCTCAGAGAACACAAAAGAAATGGGTCACAGTGTCTTCTGCACACAACACACTCCACTGAATCAGGATTTATTAGAAAGGTGTGCCCCTAGAATTTTGGGCATGTTTTGCAATCCGCAAGCAGGTTTAAGTTGGTTAGGAGGAAATAAGAAAGCTCCTGAGTCCCAGATTTTTACCAGTGCTGTGGGATGTATTTTTAAGTAAAAAGAATCAGAGAAAGTGTGTCTTCCACTCTACGGTCAGGCTGAAAGGAAACAGGACCTGAGTAAACTAAAGAGCCATTCCAGTAAACAGACTGATACAATATAGCAACATCATTTGGACCCTGTATCTGTGAAGCTCAGTAACTGGCATTGCTGAGGACTGGAGCTAAAGCCAAGTACTACAATGTACTGATGCTGCTGACAGCTCAGAGGTCAAGGAGCAGAAACCTCCTATCCTAAGACAGACTGGACTCCAGAAGGGAAGTCAAGGCACCTCCAAGGTCACATATATATCCACTCTCCAACTTTAAAACAGAAAATAGCCATCACAGCTCAGCCACCACCAACCCATCCTAGTCCAAGACTTATCTACAACCAGGCCCCTGAACAATATTTGAAATTAAGAAATAAAACACTCCTAAAACAGTATTTATCAAATAAACAGTGTTTAACAAATTCACAAATTACTTATGAAAATCTCCAGGTTCAGGTTATTTCCAAGAAAATGACTTTTTTAAAGGTAATTATTTAGTTCCAAACTATGCTGAATTTTCCTCTGGTTTTCAGAAAATGTCTGTAAGGAATCTGATTTTTTTTTTTTTCTGAAACATTGCACACAGGAGAAGAAAAAAAATGGAAAGGGAGAAATTTTTCCTGAACAGAATTTTATAGCTAGGGACATAATTGTATATAGTTTAACCTAATGCAGAAAGATTACAGCAACCCTCATCAAGAGCTTTGTTTTGGGACAAAGATCATCTAAGAGAAAGGAAAAAGAAAAGTGGAATCAATTTTTCCAGGCTGGATTTAAATAAAACAAAGTATATTCAGAATTGTTGTGTGCTCATTGGGAGGTCAAAGGTCAGGAAAAGAAAACACACTCTTTTGGTGTGATCTAAGGATCCAGGCATTGCAGCCGATCGAGTGATCTAAGGATCCAGGCATTGCAGCTGATCTGCAATTATTGTTTGCTATACCCACTAACAATTGAGACTTCCTGCCCAAAACACGTAGCAACCTTCAGAGGAAGTCAATGCCAAGAACAGTTCTTCAGTGAATTTGTGGGTTTGTACCATAGTCCTAGAGTCAGGACTCCCTAAATCACAGCAGGTCTCCCAAACTACCTCTCTTAGACTACAAGGCTAAGATACTAAGGAATTTGCAGAATTCAAGGCAAGTGTCCACATCTGACACAGATTTGACAGGGTGACTCTTACGTTTCTTAACTTTCTGGACAGGTCCCCAGATCCTCTTGGTCTCTTGCCTCATTCATGCATCTATCCAACAGAGAACTTTATGACAGGCCTCAGGAAAGGTACTAATCTGGGACTAGTAAGCAGGGAAGTCCAAAGTGTGAGGGAGGGCAGAGGGGGAACAAGGAAAAGAGAAGCATGTGCAAAGGATGTAGACACTATAGAATCTCTATACTCTATACCATAGAGAGGATGCGAGAGAAGGGAAGGCTAGATAGGACACAGAGTCTTAGGCAGGTAGAGGGAGGGGGAAGGAATAGAAAAGTCTAAATAGACTAACAAATGGAAGGGGATATCTAGAAGACAAATCTCTATGGGAGGGGATCTGGTTCCTCCCCCTTCCTCTCAGGTCTTGCTCCTGATTTGCATTCTCCTCAAAGATTCAAGTCCCAACTTTTACTGTGGATTACAGGAGGGCACTGGGCTAAGACATGAACTCAGCTATCATTCCTAAAGGGAGTGGAATGTAGAGACTGGCACAGAAGTGGATGCAAACAAATTAGGTAAAAACTGGGAAACAAACACACAGATACAGCAAAAGTAAAAGCCAGCCCCATCTGGAAGAGCAGAGTTTGAAGGTTGATAGAACGATGGAATTGTGGGTGAGCCTAAGACCTTTGTGCCTCTGCTCTGAAAGGAACTGACTTCTGCAGATGATCCTTAGACCCTGTTAAGGACATACTGTCCACCAAGGGCACTGCCCACACCCCCCAAAACTATGGCTAGGCACAGATAATTAGGAAAGAGATGTCTGCTGCTGCTGAAGACTGAACTACAAGAGCCCGGATCAGTGAAATTCTTCCTAAATGCACCAGAGCAGAAGGGAGGGCACACATAGACATGCAAACAGCATCACAGAGAGTGGAGCACCAGGTGACAGTTGTGCTGTGAATACAAACATAGTTGAACTACACGGAGGTAGATCCTTGCATGTGTGTATACACCAGTAGTCCACTGACCTCTCTGGAATGGAGCTGTCTCTTTCCCCCTTTCCATTAATTCTCCAAAGCCTAACAGTAAGCCTCTATTCCCAAGAACCAGCTACAGCTGATTTCTGTCAGTCCTTTTTATTTCTCTAGCTTCAGTATCTTGTTCTGGAAAGTGGAGGAAACTAAAGGTTTGGGTGTACCACTGGCCACAAAAGTACTTTGGAACTAACTGGTAAAATGCTTGGGGGAAGGAAACATCTGGAGGAGAGTCATTGTGTCCGTGTGCTTGATGAAACTGGAGTGCCTGTCCCTGCCAACAGAAGATGTCCTGCACAAAATTGGTTGGGGGATGGGTGGGAGAAGATAGGAGGTAACAAGGAAAAACTGACCAGAGCCAGAAATAAAGATGAAGTGAAGGGCACTACTACACCAGCCACCTTATACAAAGCTTAATTTTCTCTATCCCCATCACCAGCAAATTGGGACCCATAGGCAGACTACATTGTGCAAGCAAATGGTTTTGGGCACAAGAACTAAGAGTCTTTCCAAAAAAGCCAAGGGCTTCCTCCAACTCTGGAAGCTAGGCTGGCCCAGCCCCCACTGTGCTGCCAAGGAGATTGAGAATGGGAGGAGGGAGCACTTCCCGAGGAGGGGGCAGATTGAAGGCCCGGCAGGAAGCTTAGACGTTAGCAGTTGGTTAACCTGCACTTGGAAGAAGCTGTTTCTCCACACGGATGCACACCGGAAGGCCACCAAGTCTGATGCTATCTCCCTAAGGGCTTGGGCATGACCTCTGGGCAGTAGACCTCTGGACAGAGAGAGGTGGTGTGGGCCTTTGGATTTCCGCCAGTATGGAAAGAAGCTCGGGAGCCAACCCTACCCATCTTGTCTCCCAGTTACTTCTTGGCAGAGCCAACACACCCCCCCCCTCAGAGTGTTGCCCCCAACTCGTTTATTTACAGGTTTGCTCTGAGTAAGAGCAGAGAGGTTCCAGAGCCAGTTTATGTAAGAAAGTGATATGGAAGACGATAGAGCCGTGGTGGGCTGGAAATTGCTTAAACCCAGCCTCCAAATGGAGAGGAATCGTTGAGACTGGGATCCGAGCAAGCCGCTTCTCTGTGTGAATCTTTCTGCCGCTTGGGAGGATTACCTCCGACTGGGATATTGACACAAAGGGAAGCTGACCTGCTTGCAGCCCGCTGCCTAAGCAAACCTTCCCCTGCCGCCAGGCCGGCCCTTCATAAAACACCAAGATTCTTACCCCCAGCTTGCCTTCTCTCTAGCCGGGTCTCTGCTGCCTTTTGTTAAATAGAGGACCCACGGCTAGAGTAGCGGGATCCAGGCTGGTTGAGATTAAGTGACCTTGGAGTCGGTTGCTAGCCACGGAGTTACTCTGCGATCTGCAGTCCACGGAGACCCGAGCTGGGCACCCGAGTGCAGTCTGCCAAAGCCTGACGCCTTCCCCTAGCCGATTCTACGGCCAACAGAAGGGAAACGCGATTCGTTCCACTTGGAATTTCCTTGAAATCTCCGAATCTAATCCAGCGTTAACTCACCGTGAGAAGAGCGCTCATCTCACAGGAGGCTGTGTTAATGGGTGAACTGACAGAATCCCTGTGGGTTAGGCTGCAGGGCCCTGCCGGTGCCCAAAATGACCCTGCCGGTCTCCTATACTGCACAAGCTTTTAGAAGGCAGGCTGGCCCGCATGTGACTAATTAGCTTTCTTTCTTTCTTCCTTTCTTTTTTTTTTCTTTTCTTCCTTTCTTTCTCCCCCCCCCCCTTCTTTCTAGGAGAGAAGCCATCTCAAGGCAGTCAGTCACCCTACAGAGAACGACTCAATGGTGTCTTTAGAGGTCTCTGTAGTGGCCGACACCTAAACTGAAGTGCAGCTTAGGGGCCCGGACTTCGTTGATATTTTTAAATCCCTTCTCCTAGACCCAGGACGCGTTTGGAACCCTGGACCAGGTGTACTTTCTTAACTCGCACTTCTTTTCTTCACACATACAGGGCCCACTTTTCATTCTAAGCGCCAATCTTGGTCAGTCCCGCGGTTGAAAAGGGCGCCAACAGAGTTGGGTGTTGGATGCAGTCTGAGACTCTCGCTGACCTCTGTTAAAACTTCCTACCCTCCAGCTGGCCCAGTTCTGAGCTTTGTATGAGTATGAACCAGGGTTCTGAGAATTAGCTGCTGGAGACCCAGAAAGGCTGCAACTCGCTGTCTACACTACCTTGTTGCTGGAGGCGGGATTTACCGACCAGGAGTTTCGGCCTTGGCGGCCAAACACGGTCCGCGTCCGCTGCCTGAAAGCCTTGCACTTTGCAAAGTTGTCTACGCAGCTACAGAGGTCCCGAACCCTCCAGAACTTAATACCTGCCCAGAAGTCCGGCACCCCCAACCCGACCCCGGCCGGAGATTGAGAGAAGCGAGCTCGCCGCCTACTTACTATGCATGGATGCAAACGGGTCGTGCTTACAGTGTATTTCCATCGGGGCGCTCCAGACTGCAGGTCGGCCCACGCCGCTGCCTCTCGGCGCCAAAGGGCTGCTCAGGGAGCCGCGCCACCAGGCCAGGCACCGTGTGAGCTGGACTCAAAAGACACTTCTGCAGCTGTGAGGGTCCCTCTCCAAGCCTCCTGCGCAAGATCGCGGAGAACTAAGCCCAGAGGCGGGAAATGGTGCTCAGCCAGTTGGTCTGGAAGCGGGCGCCCAACTCCAGCTGGCTTCGCTCCTTGACGGGCTCAAACGGCGGCTCCCGGCCCACACCCGAGAAACAGAGGCCCAGGCGCCCACAGCGTCGAGGGCATAGCGCAGGAGCCCACCTCCGGGACTGCTAGCGGCGCTCGGCGACGGAGCAGAAGCGTGCAAGAGGTTGTGAGCACACGGCCCTTCGTCTCACTCCGGGGCAACGATGCCCCGCGGGCTGTCAGGCTGCCTCTGTCTCGCTGCTTCGAGTGTCTGTCCACCCCTCGGCCTCCGCCAGATCCTTCCGGCTCTCCGCTGTTCCTTGTCTCTGGGGCTAGACGCGCCCCTCTCCTGCCGCCTCTCTCCTGCCGGCTCTCCGACGTCTCCGACGAAGTTGCAGAGAACTCCCTCTCCGGCTGCGCAGGGGCCGCGGCGGATTCTGAGATGCTGCAGCTGCTGAGCCTGGGCGCCCAGAGCGCCCTGGAACTGCCCTCTCGGAGCCCGGAACCCGCCGCCTTCAAAGTTCCCGCGGGCCCCGAGGTTCCCGGTCCCTTCGCTCCTGGCTGTGCCTCACGCTACCAACTCTTGGAGTCCCGCTGCCTGCTCTCGGGTGTCCGGGTGGACTGCCCCCAGCTTGCCTCTTCCGGGACAGCCGCCGCGTCCGCCCAGCGGTGAGCGAGGGGCGCAGCAGAGGATGCGGGTCCCTGCCGCCGGGGCCGCCGGGGCCGCCAGGGCTGTCGGTGCTGAGATGAAACCCCTGCCGGCTCTAATGTCCTCACTGCTGCTGCCGCCGCCGGCGCTAGCCCTCCGCTTGCTCGGCGCGCACAGTGCGCCACCGCGCCGCCCCGGAGCCGCTTTCAGGACCCGCTGCGTGTGGACAGCGCCGCCCGGGGCTCAGCCTCCCTCCGGGCGGGGGCGGGGCGGGAGCTCACCTGCCAATCACGCCTCATCAAGCCAATCAGAACGGGGGCATCCGGCCCTAGCCCTAAATACTGCCCTATTGGCTAAGCAACTCACGGGCTCCGCCTGATTAGCCGGTACCTGGGCAATGGGAGAGAATGGGGGGCGGGGCCCAAGCGGCGGCGCCACGTTCATTGACAAACGCGTGGGGAGAAGGCCTAATGGGTCGGGGATGGGTAGGGGGAAGAGAGAGAACAGGGCCCACGCCGTGTCTGAAGAGCCCGGCTCTTGGTCCCACAGAGCCAACCTTTCTGCCTGCCGTTGGGATTCTGGGATGCGCTTAGAGACTGAGGCAACCAAGACAGGGACGAAGGGTGAGGATGGGAGAGAAGTCTCCAGAAAAGGGGGTGGGGTGGGGTGGGGTGGGGAGAAAACACCTACAAATGTTGGAAGACATGCACCGCAGTAGAGAGTCGGCTTTTAGTCTAGGTGGAGGATTTATGTGTGTGTATACCTGCCACTTCAGACTCACTTTGCTGCTCTGTAAAATGGGTAGAGTTTAGTGAAGGGAGTCTTTGGAGCTGGTTCCTTCCAATGGAAACATTTCCTAAATGTATCAAGAATTACTAAGCGATGGTCGTCTCCTCCGTAGCCTTCCTTCTCATTTTCCTATCCACAGAGGCCCCAGTACTGGAGAGTTGGGAAAATATTACTTTAAGGGTACCAGAAATTGGGGAGTCTCTAAAACTTGGTCCATGTTGTCTCAAGCAACAGAGACTAGGTCATTTCTTCAGTCTCAGTCTAGGAGCTGATAGATCCCTTGGGGGATTGTGATACTCTCAGCTCAAAGCTTCTGTCAACAAGAGGATTTCCGCATCTGGTGCAAGGTCTCCTTTAAAGCGGAAGGTGGAAGGTGCCCACTGGCATCCAGAGCTAAGGAGAGCACCTGAAGCCAGAGGCTGTGTTTACAAGAATCTGGCAGTGTGGCACCAAGATGGCTACAAACGCTGCAGTTCCCAGCTACCAGGAAAAGCTGACCTTCCCTCATCAGGGTTCCTGTAGATTTTAGGACAAAATGGACAGACTTCTAGAGGAATTCTCCTGATCCAGCAAAGTTCTTTAACCAGTCCACATCTCAGTTTCTCGGGAGAGTAAGGCTCTCAGCCCTCAATCAAAGCAGTTTAACTTTTAAAAAATGAAGTGTCTTCTCCCAGGTAGCTATAGTTCTGTGAGCCCTCTAGTGTGCTGAGACCCAGCAAACCCCAGAAACTGAGCATCCATCCCTCCTGTTCCAGCAGTTGTGGGAGTAGACTAAACACTCACTTCTTTGACTAATAAGTGATGTCCCTCTGATATTAAACATGAATCCACCAGAACAAGGACACTGAGATTTCTGCTTCAGTCGTAGCACAGAGGAAACAGAGCCAGTCAGATGCTTGGAGAACCCTCGGGTCATTTTCTTTATTCATTTTATGCTTGAATTTTCCCCTCATTTTCCATTATTTTCCCCTTGTTCCATGTCTAACATCTCTATACTAGGTAAGTTCCTGGGTCCACCCTCTATATCTGTCTTGGTCGCAGCTGCTCAGAACAAGTAGACAAGTTTCCCCTGGCTGATACCATCCCCACCCCCACTGGGGCACAGCTGCAGGAAAACGACCTAGGCCAGTCTCTGGGGACTCAGAAGGTTGTGGTGTACAAGGTAGTGGGGTGGTAGCTTTCTCTCCTTTGTCTGGAACCCCTCCCAGTCCTGATCTTTATCCCCACATCCATCTCTGCCTTAAGGCAGGAAGGTTAAAACAGGAAAATTACTGTGATGGCATAGGGTTCCACTGGCTTTATCCTGGATCTGATATACAATAATTCAGTTCCAAGACAGTTATGGAGCTCTTAATTCCCACTAGCAAGTTCAAGAGTAAAGGATGCATCCAAAAATCAGTCAGGCCCTTAACCCTGCTTCTTGAGCTTCCAAATCCAGAGCTAGGATCTTAAAACTAAAAGGGTTCTGGGGCAATGTTTTTCCCATTTTACAGATATGGAACCTGAGGGGTAAAAGACAGGGTACAACTTGTCTGAGAATGTCTGGGATAGAAGAAAGGCTGGAGACTGGAATGGGAGATGGTGTCAAATCAAATAATTCATCTGGACAATGCCTGCCCTGTGTTGTTTGGACAGAATGCCTAGGGTACTCTGAGGGCAGGCTGAAACTTCAGGTATCATTTCAGAAGGAGCAACCTGGATTATCCCTTTCACACAGTTCAGCTCTGGGTGCATTCTCCTCTGTAGGACCCAGCCTAACAATGAAAGAGGGGTCAGAGGAAATTTTCTTCTGAATGTTTTTTTCTTGTCACTTCTGCCTGAGCTCTGAGATCTTCAAATCCCCAAAGAAATGAAGAGTCCTGATATGACCACATTGCAAACTACCAAACAGTGGACCAGAGAGGTTAGATCACACAGCTATTCCCTAACAGAGATGTGCTTCCATGCCTCACTCTTGCCTGCCTTCATCTGCAGGCAGTCCAGGAAGGGCTAGCAAAGCACTAAATGGCCTGTAAACAAAACCACTATTGGGGAGGGGGGACAAAATAAACAAAAATTCACAACTTTTTCAATTGAATTGCTTTGACAAGTTTTGCTTGTTGGAAGAATGACCGTTTTGAGAATATTTCAGAAGCCAGAACACCTTTGGAGAGGGAGTGCCTATCTACCTCTTTCTGCACTTGGACACTTTCCATCACCCCCACCCTTACCACCACTTCCTGTTACTCAACTCTGCAACGCTCCCTCCAGTTTACAGAAGAGCCAAGCCCTGGGGATGCTGGTGCTGCCATGGAGATCTGGCAGTCCAATTCCAGCCCATTTGCCTGTTCTTTCTTCCAATAAAGCCAGGCCTGTCAGTTGGGAAGGACTGGAGATGCCTGGGCACTGCTGTTCTAACCTGATGGGTTCTTTCTAACCTTTAATTTGAAAAAAGTATCAGAGAGGAAAAGCAACTGGTCTGTGATTGCACAGCAAATGGGGCATAAAGATGTCTGTCTGATTCCTGAATGTGGATCAAGAATCTACCCTACTTGGCCTGGGTTATGATGAGGAATCACTGGGGAGGAGAGAATTAAACCAAGTCTTTCAAGGAGTACCCACCTCCTATGCTGGGGCTTGTTACCCCCACCAGCCTGCCCTTGCAGGTCTGGATCACCAGAACAGTCTCTCTCCTAAGACTTACAATTCAGATTCAATAATCCTTTTTTCCTTAGGCCTCAGCTTCCTGTGCCTGGAGCACAGAGAATGACCTCCAGAATGTTCCCCATTCCCTAGGAGCTTTGTGAGACTGAGATGCTGTCCCATCCATGAGCTCCAAGTGCTATTCTTTCCCCCTGCTTCTAGACCTAGTCCTGTCATAAGTTCCTGCCCCCTGGACCTCCTCTTTTCCAAGGAAGGGAGAAGCTGCTTGTGTGCTGAGCTTGCTTAATATTGGGCTTTCAGCTATAAAGATACTACAGACAGGGAAGCTGAGTTTTGGAAAAGAAATGCTATATGATTCTGAAGGAAAGCAGGACAGTTTGGTGGCCCATGAATGGCCTAGAAGTTGAGGGCAGAAAGTAGACCAAGATGGCCTTTGAGTGAGTGCCCGGATAGCCCTGTAGTCCTCATCCTCCCCTTCCCTAGGCAGGATCTCAGGACTTGGAAGACGAGCAGAAGGGTATTCTCACCTGAGCTGCTACACCTTCCCAAGCAGAAGTCTTTTACCCTAACCCATCAGTAAGGGGTGTGGCTCTTAGGATTTGAAGCTGCAAACACCCCTAGAACTCCCCCCCATAAACCCCACCCAGTCTAACCGAACAGAAGAGTGAAATGCTTTATTGATTAAACGATTATTCAGGCGATTGAACTAATCAAAGAGCCCATCGACCGCCATGAATTACATTCCCGCAGTAGACAGCTTGACGGGAGAGGCAGCCATACAGACCCTTCTCGACTCACACACATCCAACCCATTTCCAACAATAAACAACCCAAGCACAGGTAGCTTTTGGGCATCCCACCTCTTGGAGCAGGGAAGGTTGTGTGAGAATTAAGAATGGAGTTCCAGTACTCATCACAGCAGAGTTTCTCCTGGTTCCTGTCCTCACTCTCTTCTATCATGGTTTTTCTGAACTATGGCACAAAGTTATCCTGGGTTGGGGTCTGGGTTTCCTCCTCTCTGCTCTTTAACTTTTTTATCAAAAGCTAGAGTAGAAATTGGGGCCTCACAGATGACCCAGGATTGAGAGGAGTGGGTTTCTTGCTATAGTTGGGAGTATTTGTGTGCATGTTAGCACAAGGACCTAATGAGAAAAGGAGGGTGTTGGGTAAGGGCAGACAGAGGCTTTCTGTTGTGCCACATCTTCCCAGGCATAAACATACTCTGCTACCCAGTGCAGAGAGAGACATGAGGGCACTGTGCCAAGAAGACCTATATACACACAGTCACCCCAGCTAAATGACCAGGCCAGGCACATATATATATATA